ATTAGGGATTTATTTTATCGTATTTTCCTATTTCAATTAGTATTAGTTTAAACCCTATATAAAGAGTGTCTATACAATGTAATTGACAACTTTTGATGATGAAATAAATTGATTTCTCCCCCAATTTCTCTCTCCCTCTCTCCCTCTTCTCTCTTTTCCCCTCCTTTCTCTTCTCTCCCTTTTCCCCTTCTATAATTCTCCTATTATATCCTATGTCATTGTATGAACTTGGTTTTCTTTATTATTTACTGCTAAGTATAGATCAAATGTGACATTTTAATTATTCATAGTATTGTTATAGCATTGGTAGAACACATGGACATGTGCGCGCACGCACATCAAATTTAAGATTCCCTCATTGAAGTTTGATTTTCCCTAACTTTCAACATTTTAACGCCTGATAGTAGATATATCCTAATTTTTGCATTCTTGTACAGACTTTGGGAGAGGTGCAAGCACTAGGCTCTTTGAAGTTCCAGCTTGTGAGTATTGTTAATATTCTATAGCAATAGAGTTTATGGATATCTTATATTGAACTAGCGTTCATTAGGAAGTTACGTCATTCAGAGTCACAGGAGATCATATGTTGCGATGTTCTGGTCTCTTTCAAATCAATGCTAGCATACGTAATGGTTGCTTGAGATTTTTAAAATTAATGAGCTCTTTACCTTTGTAACTTGTAATTCAAATTGCATAGCCAGAATTGTTTTATTGTCAAAAGGGTTACAGAATTTCTTTTGAACTTTTCTGTGCTCATTTTGCACGCAGAACTTGATTGCCATAAAGAATGGGATTCAGAAAATCAGTGGCTTTACAGTTTTTGACACTGTAGAGAAAAAAACTTACGATTCTCTGTTGGAACTGGAGGTTAGTTATCTCTATAAGCTTTGCATTATTTGTTAACTAGAAAAATAATTCCTTTAAGTTGGCATGTGGGCAACTTGTCTGGCTAGTACTTTCAACGCCTGGCCATGTTAGTGGTTTGGCTTTGCCTTACAACTCATCATCTAGTAGAGATAATCTGTATGATTGACTGTTCAGAGAATTTTCTTCCCACTCATCAAGAGCATTTTAAAATATGATAATTACTAATTTATATGTACAACTTTGTTAATGCCAAAATTCGAGCCCATAGTATGCTTAGACTACTCTTTGTAGAACTTGGTTAAAGTGCAGGCTTGAAAATTTGCTTTATCAGACTTCTCCTTTTTGTTTTTGGATGTTATTTTTACTTGATTGAATTAGTTTGTACTCAGAACTATATTATATTGGGTTCTTGTTCGTTTGGCAATCTGCAGATCTACGTGGATTCAGAGTGACTGGTCGATTGCATTGCGCTGTTGAGGCCGGTCTCCATATCTTATATCCTTTTGTAGGGATAGGTTTATTTCATGGGCGAGCATGAGAAACTCATCGTAGTAAGGGTGCCTTAGATATTTCAAACGGAAGAGAGTGCTTAAGTATCTTTAGTGAACCTCGTAACAGGTCCGGGGCCTGCATCACCCTCTCTATTAAACCTTCACGAATCGTATCAAGCTAGCATGAACTTACAGTCATTAAACCTATTGCTCTGTAGGTGTAACTTTAAAGCTTCGTTGCAACTTTGTACATTAAAGGAGAACATTTTCCATCTCCTGTTGATTTTGTTGTCCTTTTTCTCATTTAAGAAATGAAAATGATGTGAACTTAATTTTTTGAACGTAGTGTTGTTCTACATGCAGTTTGTATTCATTTTGGTTGTTTGGCACGCTGGATTAGATCATATAAGAAATTGTATAGACCCATGCAAGAACAATACAATTAACAACAAATCTTGTTTGCCATTACGTTGGTTCATTGTTAGATTTACAACAAGAGTCACTACGCCTCATTTTCTTTTCTTTCGTTCTTTTTTTTCTAACATATTCTATGTAATCGCATTATTCATAAAAATCGGAGTTTCTTCATGTCTAAAACTACATGATAACGGTAATTATTTGTATAATCCCTCAATATCAAATTTACAAACCAAGGGGGGCACGGAGAAAAAGGATTAAAGGACATCAGAAAACAAAAGAACATCATATTTACGTAAGTGAAGAAAAAAAAAGAAAAATAATAAGGGTGTGTTTAATTGTGAGCATGGAAAGAAAATAACTTTTAGACAATTTAATTGTATAGAATTTATTTGTATGAAAATTATTAATTAAATGTGTTTCATTAATTTAATTGTCAACATAGAAAATATTATACTTATCCATTTTTTATTAGTGTAGATGAAAGATAAAGGGAATAGATAAGACATAGAAAGAGAGTGAATTATCTGGAAAATAAAAACTACTCATTTCTAAAGAAAGTGTTTTCCTTGTTTTTAAGGAAAATATGCTTGCATGACCAAAAATTGAAAAATATTTTTCATGAAAAAAATTGTGAATCAAATATCTCAACAGTAAAATTTCAATAGAAAATAAAATCAATCAAACACAGAGATAGTTGTGCTTCTATATCTATGAAGCCTGTTGGCCCCAGGTTGCCCAGTTAGCTTCCCTCGCAATCCGGGGTATGCTATTAACCTTGGAAATTTTATCAATTATGAAATTAGCTCCACGGATCACCCCTTCACTGTCAATTCTTGGCGTGGCTTTCATTTTATTCATTGGATACTCAGCTCATTAATCCTCTCACACTGGTACAAGCACCCTTCAAAATTCATCCAAAACTTGAATAAGATAGTGAATATTTTCAGATTAAATTCAAATTATAGATACTTCACTTACCAGCTGGGAAAGGGGCAAATGATTTCCTACAGCAAGCTTTAATGAGATTCACATACACAGATCATAATAGAACCATCATCTGCTACGCCCCCAAAAAGATTCAATGTTATCACATATATTAATCAAACAATTTATTAAATGTTTTATATAGTGGACTCTAAATTTATTGAGAATAAATAGCACTTACAAGAGCTGCAAACACAGTTCTAGCTTGTGATCATAGATCACAGATCTTAAACTGCCCTCGAGATCTTGAAGGATTTAATGGGCAGGGATCGGGCCCTGTCACGGAGGGTCCGATAAGCTTAAATCACAAACATGGCCTCATTTCCAATTTTTGATAGCCCATATTTCTTGTTAAGTTTGCTTAAGTTGTTTTAAGGGAACAATACATATATCAGCTATTTAGTAAACACTATTTCAATTTTACAATATATACTTTCAAAATTCAGAAATCAGGTTTTACTAATAAAAGAATACTTAATAATATATTATATATAGAAATTTCATTAATTTGGTATGATTTAATACATTCCCTGAAATCATGGATTCCGTTACCATTTAAAAAACAAGATTCC